CACCAGGAATCCCCCCAAACAAACCCCCCACCCCCAAAAGCCGCCCAGCCACAAGAGTGTGAATTCCTCAGGGAGGTGCCAGCCTCATCCTCTTGTTCCTCCCACGCTCTTCTGGGGAGCTAAGAAAGTGCTTATCTCCCTGAGCTTGGCCTTCATAATTCCATTCCATCACACCTTTAGACTCGGCTGGAGAAAGTCGAAAGCCTGCAGAAGGCTCTGAAGGGCTAAGAGGTGACGGGACGGGCAGGAGGGGCCAGGAACAAGGCCAGTCCAAACCACATCCTGTGCCAGCCCCACGGCCTCGCAACTGCCTTCCAAATCAAGGGCCCAGAACGAGATGTACAAGATGCTACCCAACGAGTCTTTCAAGCCAACACAAGGGTGTGCGCTGGATCCGGCCCCTTCGAGAAGTCCAAAAGGGAGCTTCTGCCCAGAACGAAAATGCCAGTGTGGGGTGAGAAAGACATGTCCTTCCCCCCCCGCTCCAATGGGAGCTGTAACTCTGGTCCACAATGAACGGTTTTACCAGGGCTTTCCAGCTGCAACTCTCAGGGGAAGGAACGCTGAAGCAAGAGATTGCAAAACCGTGGCACGTTCGCCGCTCTCTGCAACGTCTTTCCCGCAGATGCAAGAACTGGAATTTGTAACCCTGATGGCTTCCCCAGAAAACGCCTGATGTTTGAGCATCTCTGCCACCTACTTTTTGGCTAACTGGGAAAAGAACAAAAGCCTTAAATCGGTGTTTTCCAAACTTGGGCACTTTAAGGTGGGTGGACTTCAACTCCCAGGATTCCCCAGCTGGCTGGGGAATCCTGGGAGTTGAAGTCCACCCACCTTAAAGTGTCCAGGTTTGAAAAACACTGCTTTGAATTGTTTGTCAGGCAGCAGAACGTGCTCTTCCTGCACCTTTTTTCCTCAAATATTGCAAGTGTCTCCACTAGCAGGTCTCTCTTGCTGTATGGTGTGCAACTGAGCACCAAGAAACACATCGCTGCTTCCTTGTTTGGAAAATTTTAAATCAGAAAAGCTGTTCTTGCATCACCCCTACCCTGAAGCTGATCCTCTAAACAGGATGGACTTCAACACCCCCCCCCAAAGTCTCCCCCTGCCTAAAACATTCCACCCCCAGCAGTCAAATGGGGAATTAAAAGGTTGGGCTGCTCTCTGAACTTCTGAGTTCAGGTTTGGCAGGTCCCCTACAGCAGAGAAGACAAGGAGGACTCCAAGCAGGTGGGTGGACTCCATTATGGTGGAGATGGGTGCCCCGTGGCGAGACCCGAAGGATCAGGTTGGGGACAGACCTTCCTGGAGAAAATCTGTCCATGTGGGCCCTAAGAGACAACCCCGACGTGATGGGACATAATCTATCAATCAATATCTCATCGTCCCCGAGCAAACCTGGTTGGTTTCCACATCAAGGCAAGGAGCAACTACATTTTTGACATGTCCCTCAAACTTTAAGCTGCCTTTAAAATCAGTTGGGAAGTTCAACATTAACTCTTCTGCATGTCCCCACTGAGCCCAGACAAGGCCACCCCATTACCATGCCTCTTGGACCTCCAGACCAATCATCCCCGCCTTACTTCCCACCTGGGAACATCTTCTAGGTTGCCCTCACCAGCGATGGCTGCCCCCGCTAGCCAGCCCGGATATTGCCCACCAAACCTTGCCTCAAGCACCCAGGCCAGTTTCCAGTGACTTGCCGCTTCCTGGGGGTCAAGCCCCACAGCTTTGGTACCCCAGGGCCCCCCCAAAGCGTGCCATGCAAGAGGATGCAACGCCCAACTGACAAGGCCCCCTTCCCTCCCATCAGCTGGGCTGAGAACATCCAGAGCGTTGTTTGCTGAGAGCCACGACCAGCACCCCCTCTTTTATTGCAAGGGGTGGAGGGACTCCAACTCCCAGCCGGGAATTCTGGCCCTGTAGTCCATGGGGTACCAGCTGGGGGCTCATTGCAGCAAACATTTCCCAACCCTAGTCAAATCTTAGTGCAACCGAAACGAGTCCTTAACTAGCAATGAGGCTTAGCAGACTGCAGGTCTCTGGGGAGTTCCTGCCAGCCAACCGGACAAATAAGTTGGTGCTCTGAGCATAAAAAACAACTTTATACAACTAGCAATTTTAGCAGGATCCCAGGAAAGGACCAGCAGCCCACATTTCCTCATCTCTCTTCTCAGAAGCTAAGGATGCCATTTGACAAGGCAGCGCATTTAATTTCTCCTGTCCTTTTTGGGGGGCGTGGGGGAGAAAAAAAGATGGAAGAAGCGATGGAAAACAGGCAAGAGGATAAGGGCACTGCCATTCAACACCCCCCCCCAAGCAAAATCCACAAGGGAGAAAATTAAACGCACAATCAGACCTCGGTTGGAGGTACCCCAAATACAGATGTGAAGGGGAAGGGCCTTCCGGAACAGCAAGACGCCTCCAGATGTTGCGCCCAGAAGCAGGGGCAAAGTAACCCATGTAGCAAGGCCCCCTGTTTAGGAATGTGGGGTTACAGAGTGGAGCCCCGAAGTGGAGGGGGAGGAAACGGCTTCCGGGGACCAACCCCGCCGTCCTTCCGAAGCCCACGCCAACCCTTGGCTCCAGAGGGGCAAAGGAGATGCTCCGTTGGCACCTCCAACGCATACCCGTGCCATCAATCCCCACACCTCCCACCCCCTGCGCGGAGGAAGGGGCATGGCGCCGTGGCAGGAGGTCGGCACGCTTTTACCTGGCACGGCGGGGCACAGCCCTTCCACGCAGGGGCGTTTATGCACGCCATGCCGGGGGATGCTTTTAATCTCCACGGGCCGATGGATCCATGCCGGCGACGAGGTGCCCCCGTCCGGAGAGGTGCAAAGGGAAAATATTTGCAGAGAAACTGAGAATGCCGAGGAAAACACCCGACTAGAAAGTGACTTTCACAAAGCAAGTTTTCTCGGTTTAACAGGCCCCAGGAAATGCCATGTCACTATAACAGACAACACTTCCTTTCCTGCTGAACTACAGCACACCACAAAACACGGTTTCAGTGTCTCAGTTGCACTTGTGACAAGCGAACACTCCCCAAACCTGCTGCTGAAATAAAAAAAAAAAACCAAAACCCTGAAGCAGGTCTTTGCTGGCAGCCAAACACACACACGCACACACACACAGAGCTTGATTTACACATTATTTCATTGCAGATATGAGTCACACAAAGTCACTGCACTCGCTTGGGCTGAAATGCAAGAGTTGGCCTCCGACAGCGACCAAAAACAGAGAGGAGATGAAAAAACAAAAGGCCAGAGACGTTTTGCACGCTTTCAAGAACGGCGTCCGCATCGGCCTTCTGGCGCGCGATGGGGGGTCACGGCTCCCGTCGGCCGTGCAAGGTGAGGACGATGGGACTTGAAGAGAGACAGGTCCCAAAGGTTGGGGGGGGGCTGGGGGGGGGGGCTCTTGGAGCAGGAGCCAACCATGGCTGGAGAATTTGGATCTGAATTTGAATCTTTGCACCAGGTCAGCGCGTACCGGAGGAAAACCTGCACGGATGGAGCAGGTGAACGGTCTCAGGAGCACCTTGGGTGCATTTTCCATTTTCAACACTCTGTTTTAGCTTCCGGGCAACGAAGAGGATGCCAACATTGACCTGCTAGATCAAAGAGGATGAGACCAAGGTTCTCCTTTCCAACAGATGTGGAAGGAGGGCCCCAACATCTGTTGCTTCACGGTAGGAGGAGAGCGGCCAAAAATCAGAAGGAATCTGCTCCCCTCTTTTCCGATGCACAAATTTGTGTGCTGGAAAAAGGGCGACCCGACCCCTTCCCAACTTCCTTTACAGACTTGGAACACGGAAGCTCGGTTTAATGAGCCTGGCTTCTAAGTTCCCACATTTTATTCCACGAGTGCCTTCTTTTTGTGAAATCAGATTCCCCGGACAGCTCAAGCGGTTGAAGAAGTTGTGGAGGCTGCATTTGAGCCCGCAGGATGTTCAGGAGGACGACGTGCACAACGGATGTTGCCCGCGCCACGCAGTACCCAGCAAGGAAGATCTGCAGATGTGGAAGACGATTTGTAGGCCTTGAGTCGAAACTGACAACATCCCTAATGCTTGATGCAAAGTACAAATAGTGAAACTGAGGTTCGCGGTTGGGGACCCAAACGGAAGGGGAAGAGCTAGCCCTCAGAAGCGTTCACCGTCACGTTTATTCTTTTTAAGCCCCGTTGTTGTCGTTCTATCGCAGTTCTTTTTTTACTTGGGGGTTTCAATATTTGAACCATCTGCCGAGGAGAAATTTTATTTATTTATTTATTCATTCATTTCTTCATGCACTCCATTTCTATAGCCGCCCATCTCAGACCCGTGACTCCGGGCGGCTAACAACAATAAAAGCAGCCAACGTTGAAAACAGTACAAAAAATTAACTATAAATATAAATGCAGCCAAGAGATCTTAAAACACCGTCGGGGTCAGCACAACCATGAAACGGGGCCCTTTGCACCCTCGGGGCCCCAGGCCTGGGCCTAAAGCCCGGTCTTCAAGGCCTTCCGAAAAGCCTTGAAATACAATGAACTGGCCTTTTTTTTTTTTAAAGACAGGGTTGCGTTTTAGTTTTAGTTTTGCTTTTCCGTTTGTCGTTTTAGGGCTGCTGCGAAACGGCCGGAGGGTGCTTTTAAGAGGGGCGGCCGTGCAAATCTTTTAAATGAATCAATGCAAAATAAATAAACGTGCTTTCCACCCTTTGCTCGGTACGCATCTGCCTGCCGTGCGCCCTGGATCGTGGGCGTCTGGGCAGGGAGCGGACCGCCTCCGAAAAACGGAGCAGGTGGAGGCCCCCCCCACCGGTGGGCCACCCCGCTTGGCGTTTTGCAACCGGGCCCCAGGACTCGGGCAAGCGATGATTCAACAGGCTTGCTGGGAACGGACCAGCCGCAGCAAACCAGGTCACAACTTGTCTCAAGCGTGCACATTTTGCACGAAGCAAATCCGGTCCTGTTTGCCTTTTTCCGCCACCTGCTTACAGGATGGAAAAAAACAAGACGTCAGCCGGTTTCTGCACCAAGGAGGGTTCGCGCCCAGCCCTTT